CTTACCCAGTCGAGAAGTTCACTTCCTGCTCTACAACTCGATGCTATGCTATGTCTAAATCGGCGAGTCCACAAGAGGTAGACATTAGAGTTACGGATACTATTGAGGTGCATTTTAAAGATTCATAACCATGACCAGGTGAGGTAAATTTAATAACCACACCCGAGTCCTGTATGCGTGTTTTATGTTATTTCCATGAGACTATGGCTAAAGGTTTCAGAGTCCTGGTGAGCATTGTTTGCCGTCCGATTTGGCATAGAGTTCGGACGTTGAGAGCTGCAATATGAAATCGATGTCGGGATCTTATGAGACTAGGAATGAGGTTTTGATATCATTGATCGTTAGGAATAGTTGAGGAGTGAAGGTTTAGGTAGGTGTAGGAGGGCTTATATTAACATGAGAAGGTAGAGGAACCGGAAGAGCGTTGAAGGGGACACTTATTCGATTGCGTCTCGTGTACTACTGGAAGCATGGGGGCGATTGATGCTTCCCGACTACCCATATCGTGGAAGATTATTTCTTCTTACAGTACTCGATAGAGGAAAATATTTATGTAACCACAAACCCATTGGACATATGCTTGAGGCCTGTCACACACAGCCTTTTGTGGAATGCTGTTTACAGGTTTGGTTTTTCTAGCTCTGTATGAGAGAAACCCATACTGCCAGTACAGAAAGATTGTGAGACAGGTAGAGTGTGCTATTTCTGTGGCCGACCATTTTTTAATCCTCTCTTCTGTTGAGTTGGCAGCATCATCGTGACACTACTGATCAGCCAAGGGAAACACTTTACTGTTGTCACACCCAGTCCAGCCAGCGGTAGTACAACTTCGCCCTCAGACCTCCTTCATAGTGTAGTCATTTACCCTACAATGTAAACTGCTTTTCGTTTTACCACTATCCAACAGACTTTTCTAGTATGATAAGACCTTTAGGGAACAAGCGTTCCACCAGTATAGCTCATTAGGTTATAGTGATATGCAAACCTGTTCACTACGTTAAGTTTGTAACTATCGGTCGGGCACTGTACATCTTCCACATCCTTATTTTCTATTCTTCTTTCATGTCTTCAAGTTAACTCTTTGCTACGACGTTTAATTCGTCTTAGCTCTTGACAGCGAGCCGATTTCAGAGAGCTGCATCTATGGTCTCCTGAAGCCGTGTTCCAAAGTACAAACTCCATCAAATCGACCAGCAAGCTTCACTAGCTAAAGTGTTAGCAACTCGGGTCATGGATATGTGCTGTGTTTGTGATTATTGACTTAACTTCACTTGGTCATTGCAGTGGATCCACGAAATTCACCCTTCGAGTTTCTGCAGGTTCAATAATAAGTTCTCTTAAACTTTTAGGTATAAATATATCATAAGACCCTAAGGCAGAAAGCTCACTACTCAACTGGAAAATAGTTGACAATTGCTTATGTGCTGATTGACTGAACGACATGGTGGTGACAAGAAGGAATGGTGAAACTCGCCATTATCTCTGTAATCTCTGCTTGCATGTCTACTGACTGCTATTCAGATAAAGTGAAGCATGAGTTCTATCGAAAACTGTCTAACCTCTTATTGATAGCCAGGCATTCAGACCTGGTATTTGTTGCATGTGATTTCAGTGCACAGGCGGGCAGGCTAAGTCATGTAGAAAAGCACTTAGGTGGCACTTTTGGAATCACAGCCGATCGAACAGATAATAGCGATCGTCTCCTACAGCTTTGCCCAGACAACCATCTATTCCCAGTCAGCACAATTTCCGAAGATAAAGAGAAACATTACCTAATGTGGCGTCCACCGAACTCAGTCGTAGACACAGACAAAGTTGCAATTAGTCTCGCTGGAGAGCGTCGATCAAAGACAGCCATTCTTTTTAGAGCACGTTCGAACAGGGACCACGTGTTGGTTTAAGCGTGTGTATGTTTGCGTCTCAATGGACGTAGGTGAACTTTAGCAACAAAACCATTAATAGCGCAATTCGACAATGAGAACACTAAGGCTGCTTTCGTTGAGAAACTGACTTGACACTTATCGGAACTTTAGAAGCTTGGCGCCATCTCCAGTCTGCTGTAAAAACAGCGTTGAGGACCGTAGTCGACTGTCAGAGAGTGGTTAGAAAGAGCAACTGGATCTCAACAGCTTCTTCTGAAATAATGGATGGATTCGAACGTGTTCCTGCGGGCTCCGAGTACAATGAAGAGCGAATGTAGACTGACAAAAAGTCTACGCAATGACCGCGAGCGGCGGCGGGCAGTGAAAGCTAAAGAGATGGAGAAGGCATCGACGATTAATAACCGTGCAGCTTAGGATTACTGAGGAAACTGGGGCAAAAAGGTCAGTGATTAGTTAGACTGTAGCGGAGAAGGATGCATCTGTGATCTATTCACTGGTCAGACGACTGGGACGATGGACGAAACAGCTTAATTGGCCCCCAGCTACTATTTCGTTGCCTGCTATCTAATCGGAGACTGGATGAAACATCTCGATCGAACACGCAACACTTGCAGAAGTCGAGAAAGCTCTAAATAACCTTATATATGGAAGAACAGCAGAGCCAGATAAACTAGTTTCGTGTGTATTTAAGGACGGTGGTCGGAGTTTATCGGTCAAACTAACTAGTGTTAACTGGTGTGTAGGAGTCAGATACATTCCCCTATGTCTGGTCTCAAGCACTGTTTATTCAAGTCTTTAAGAGTGGTGAAAAGTCCCCTTGTGAAAACCACAGCCGAATCAGCCTGAAGAACATAGTGTCAGATATTCTAGGTTCTGTGATCATTAAATGTTTGATTGTAGCTCGGGAACAGCAAACGGGAAAAAATAGACAGGCTTCACACCTTGTCTTGAGTGTATCGACCAGATATTCATATACTGCCAGGTTCTGGAACAAGCACATTTATCCACCCCCGATATTAGCTGTTTTTCTCCACCTTAAGGTGGAATGCGACTCCGTAAATCGAGAGTTCTTATGGTAGTCTCTCACTGAGATGGTGTACCGAATAAGTTCATCACTATGTTGAAGGCTCTATACTCGGACACCTGTGGGTGTGCTAGAGCCTATGGTGAGCTGTCAAGTGAGCTGTGTACATCGAGTGGTGTCGGTCAAAGAAATCCACTCTTCATTCCTGTTCAGTTTTCTCATACATGCTTTTATGGAGGTCTCCTCGTCATCTGACATCATAGGGATTGATCTTAACACTAGAGAATCCTTGATAGGTGTAGAATACGCGGATGAGATAGTCCCGTTAGGTGAAGATGCTGACACCTTCAGTGTCAATTTAAGAATGTTTTGGATGCGTTTCTCCCCACCTAAATCCAAGTTCTTTCTCCAGGATTGGTCTTTATCGGCGCCCTGTCTATAAGTAGAAAGGAAAGGGGCTGAGTGCCTTGACCACTTCACTTAGGTGGGAAGTCGGATCAGCCGTGGTGGGTCAAAGGTCGACGAAATTTCTACACAAATACAAAAGGCTTGACTGGATTTCGCCAACTTACCCCATCTGTGGTGCCGTTGCAATATCCACTTATCTATTAAGGGTCGAGTATACTGTACTGCAGCTCGCTCTGTTCTATGTATGGTTGTGATGCTTGGCCGTTAAGTATAGAGGATATGTGAATCAGGTGTCTGACCAAAGTTGTCTTCGTACCATAGAACGTGTATTGGGGTATCACGACATCAGTAACGCAGAAGTCAGGTGTGGAATTTTAGGGAGGAGTGATAAAGTTGTTAACGTTCATCAGCTCAGATAGATGGGACAAGTTTTACGCATGGCTGCCGCGTCGTACAATGTTTGCTAAAGTAGTTTCAGGCTGAAAAAAGACTCGACGGGGTCATACTGAAACATGATATCATTTTATGAAATCCTTGACTGTTGGTCTGAGCCATGTAGGAGAATGTAGACTTCCCGGTTGGGACTCACGTCACAGCAAAAAAGCTAGTGGTTAGAGGCCCTAGGTGACATAGCTTATCGTTGATCTCAGTGGCTCAGATGTATTCACATATTATCATCTTAATTGCCATACTGAACTCAGTACTTTCTCATTCTTTCTTCTATTGCGTTCTACTACTTTTGACTGAGTTTCCTCTAGTTTTTCTTCTTACTGCTTTATTACTTGTTCTGCTAATGTGAGGTATGGTAACTTGATTTGTTATGCAGTAATCCCTGGTCCTATGTTGATATTGATTGATTTTTAATTGAGACTTATTGGGTGATGGCTTATGATCCTACTCGATTACCATGGTCGAAGTAGGTGTTCATGGATGTGATCCGGTACACCCATTTGCTTGGTATTTGCCGAATATCACCAAGAGTCTTGTTTCCAGTCTATTCAGTGGGTTTTTAAGCGATGAGCCATTAGCTTAGAAGGTGTCTCATCTCTCCCGGTTTGTGCATTCAGTTAGTATTATTAGTCTTGTAATAGTTGGTGTGGTTAGTGCGTGTAGCATTCGAACTTGTGTATAATGTATACCAATTTACTCCGCCTGTGGCTCTGGCAAGGTTTCTGAGTGCCAGTAGCAAACCTGATTGGTGCCCGTTGTTCCACATGACCGTAGGTTGCGGAAGAAATACTGACACTTCAGAGCTTTGCTCATAGGCAGCACTGGTAGCATATGACGGAATCGTACAGTGAATTGTGTAGAAGTTAGACAGTCTGTTATGCTACGAAGGTGAGTCAGTGTGAGGTTAATTGCAAAGTGTCTGAAACAAATTACCCATCAATAGCGGCTGTCCCATCGATGGATGTTGCTAATTGAAACTAGTTTAAATTCCAAGATGCTAAAGGTCTACCGATTAAGATTTAGTATCATAACATAAAGTCCCTGACTTTCATTTTGAGTCATATACTGTAATATAAGCTACTGTACTTGGAAACTTTGAGCGGTTAGAAATCAGCACTTAGTAGACTTGGGTTTTTGCACCATGGTATCCTTTCTTTGGTTTTTCGTCAGATCATTGTTATTAGCTTAAATCTCTTTTAGGAGGTTTTTATTCATACTGTGTTTATTTGATTTAGGAATTACAAACCACTTTTGGATACACTTGGTCTGTTTTACCAAATTCGTGATGATTATGCAAATTTGGTTGACCTCTCTGTAAGTTTTATATTTTCTGTCTTATGGGTGTAAGGCTAAACAAATGCGATTGTTACAATATTTGGGAAGTGAAATGCAGGACACAAGTTTTGTTAGCGTTTATACTCATTAGCTGAGTAAGCTTGTACCCATTGGGATCTGGTGTTGTTGTCGGAAAATTGAACATAATACGAGCGATATAAAACATTAAAATCCTAGTTACCAAGCTCCTAGGTTACTATAGCAACCTCTTGTGCAACTAAGCCCAAATTTTCACTGATTGGAATGGGGTAATTTACATAGTGTACCATATGAGGATTTAACATTGATGCCATTAATTTCAACAAAGTATTTCCGTGGTGTTTCTCTTTGTCATTCAGCAAACTTAATTCATCGGCAAACCTACCCAACTCTTGCTGTAACAATGGATTTCCTTAAATAGTAACTTACCAGAGAAACATTTAACCACTGTTTTATTTCCTACTCTTCTTTTATCTCAACTTCCAATCTGAATTCATTTGATTATTGCCACTTTTCTTACATTGATAACCCATAGCTTTGCATCACCATACTTTTCTGCTGCCTCCTACTCTTTTTCTGTTGATACCTTTGGAATCCGTAAAAATATCCCATTTCGTCAGTTGATGGAATCCTAATGAAGTTCTAGGTGTGAATTAATGATTTCTTGATGACCTATTATGGACAAAAAGTAAATGAATTATTAAGCCCTCTCGTTAGTATTTTTAGGCCTAAATTCTGTAGGTTTACCACCAGTCGGCGTCAAATCAATAGATACAACGATTAGGTTGAGTCTGTTTCCTTTTTCATCCGGAAATTCCCCAGCTGATCACACTCAGTTCTCCAGAAGGAGTATGCGACAAGATGGCATGAGCAGCGAATTCGGGTCTTACAAAACTAATTACTCCTAGGCTATTAAATAGTGACTGCATCGTAATATATATTACGGACTATCTTTGAATCATTGTATCTGAGTTAAGTGACTCGGTTTCATCATCCTTAGGTATCTTAAAGCCGAGTTCATATATTCCATCTTAGTCTGTTTTTTAGAAATACCATACAGTGAGACAGTGTCATTTACTGGATAACGTTTCGGACATAATTTACTGCCCACATTCATATCAGGTAACTGCACAACTTCAGGACAGAGTTTATATATTCCTAATTTTCTCTCCTGCTCTGTGATGACAAGGGTAGTAGAATTATCCATATACCTGGGACAGGTACAGAATCACTTTGACTGCATGTATTTGGCGTTGTTTCGATAAACAAAGATTCGGTTATCAATCTCTCCCTCCACGCAACTAAGTTTTTAACGCTGTCGCTCTATCCCACCGTACTGTGAGATTGTGTGTAATTGTGTGCAGAGCTATAGCCAAGTTTTTCTCTAAATTTCTTATCTTATTAAGATCTAATCTTGATTTAGCTGAGTTTTTGTGCTCTGTTATTCTAATCGACCCTGCCTGCTCGACTACTTTGACCTATGTATTTGACCTCGCAATCATTGTAAGGGATTCGGTAAACCAGATTAATTTGCTTAATTGCATCTATGGTATCTCCTAACCTACAAAGCTTGTTTCTGAGCGAGTTTGTTGGTTTGAATGTCACTTTAATCCCAGCCTTATTGGGAATTCTTCGTAATGCTTCTGAGGTGCCTTCCTTGTATGGTAACACAGCAGAGGCTTTGAATTCTCTCTTAACCCTGTCACCGTTATTACCATTAGTAATAGAATTGTTATTAATAACACCTGTATTTCTACCACTACCAATATTTTTCTTTCGATTTCTAATGAATTTATTTATAAACTTTTGTGTGCAATTATTGAGACGCAAGGTATTCTTAATTTATCCAATTTCTTATCCTAGATTTTCTGGTTTACTAGTAAGCTATTTCGCCCTATCACTTAGGCATTTAAGTAAACCTACCTTAACTGAAATGGAGTAGGATAATTTGAATTCTAGGTAGCGATTTGAATGGGAAGGTTTCCTATAAACATTAGTCGAATCAACACCAAATATACGCAATCAAAGTGATTCTGTACCTGTCCCAGGTATATGGATAATTCTACTACCCTTGTCATCACAGAGCAGGAGAGAAAATTGGGAATATATAAACTCTGTCTTGAAGTTGTGGAGTTACCTGATATGAATGTGGGCAGTAAATTATGTCCGAAACGTTATTCAGTAAATGATACTGTCTCACTGTGTGGTATTTTTGATAAATTGACTAAAATGGAATTGCAGTTGACCACAGTTCCCAAGTTTACTCCCATATCAACTAGTTCATCTGTCTTTAGGTGTTATCGGTGTAGAAACTTGTTTCTGCTTTTGATTTACTTAATCTCGTAGATGATGTCTTCACATTGATCTCCGATGATTCAATATTTCCTACTGATTGGTATTATCGTTGGTAATATCTCCTTCGATTATATCATAAACTATCTGTCAATATTCTTTGTAAGATAGCTCTCATAGATGATGATTTAATCTTATCAACAATAATTTTTACTCGTATGTTTACTTTTTAAAAATGAAATTTAGTATCACAAAACGAAAACTTATGCAGAAGATTTGACTGAAGGCAAATTTAGTTATCCAATCGTACGTGCTATTAACGATCATCCGAATGACAATCAAGTAATGAACATTTTATCACAGCGTACTACAAATCCATCGCTAAAGTTATACTGTGTTAAACATATGCTAGAATTGGGTGCATTGCATGCGACTGCAATGATGTTGACTAAATTGGAAGATAAGTGAGTACACTGCTTAACAAAAATAGTGATATCTACCGCTTATATCTAATGTGATATTCACTCCCCATTTTTCTAGATCCTAACCAGGCTTTGCTTATACTGTATAGTGTAGAAGCTGATAGAGACGAGCTATTGTTAGCCATATATACTTTTTTCCTCAGCTATTTGTCCCACTGTTGAATCATTGGTGTCAGTCTATGTATGCCAGATGACTACTGAAAATGCTGAGATAATGAAGTTTTAAGAAAGCGTTTATCAAAGGTATCAGACCAGCGACTACTGATCATACGTCCATTATTTTAAGGTTCACAAGATAGGCATTCTTTGATTGGTTATTAAATGATCTGATATTGCATCAGTTTCTGACGATAACTACAATCTTCTAAGAAGTTAGCACATTATCTTCTAGGTTACCGAGTCGTGAAATCCACCCTTGACAAACTGGTTGGTGGTATCATACTTTTGTAGTTACTGTGATTCATTGTTTTACACTTCTTTCGATTCTCTTGGTAGATTTTCAACATTGTATCGATGCTTGTACAGCCTCATCGATGTCGTAATATGAAATCTTATAATAATAATGATAATAATACCTGGTTCCTTGATTTGTAGGTTTTAATTTCATCTCATATAAATTTTTACACCTGATTCAATTGCTGTTGATGTAGTGTCTTTGTTGAAAAATGAGCTTTTGATTAATCACAGCACGTTTTCAATTACTGACTCCTGACTACAAGCAGGTCTCTATTCTGAATTATATTGCTTACTGTTTCTTATAGTATCGTGAATTGTGTCATTGTCTAGGGTATATAGGCAATTTTTGATGGAAGGTACTTACACTTGTCTGGAGTGTTTATTCAAATTAATCCTTCTAATTGCAAAATAATTATGAAACACCTAATATTCATGCCTTTGTGAACAAAATTATCTGACTTTGACTGTCGACTGAGCTACTGCCATGGTAAGAGAAGTTGGATTAGGTTGAAAGAGAGTTCAGCCTCGCCAGATCAAGACGTGGCACCAGTCCGTGAAGTCTCTTACTGTTGGTCTGAGTCGGGTTGGGAGATGTAGACTGTCTGGCTGAGATCACTGAGATAAAGGGAATCAGTGGTCGAGGACTCTTGGTGACATGGCTAAAAATCGGTCACAATGCTGAGATGTATTCACTCGTTCACACTTTCTAAAGCTTGAGTATTCTCACTGACCTATGTCTTCAAGTTGTTTATTATCTCGTATAACTTTGTCTACTTTGATACCACTGTTTTCCTACCCATATTTTCTTTGTTTACTACTGTGAAGCGTGACCACTTGAACATATGCACTTGTTCACGAAGTTCTATGTTCATTTTGTGTCTGTCTGACCTTTTTGCCTGTTAATTTTCAGGTGTCGTCAGCTGATCAAGGAATACGGTGATAATCCCTTATTGTCACAACTGATTAGTAAACTAAGTGATTTACATCGTACGCCGGGTGGTGATTTACGATTTATTACACTTGAAGAACTTAGCTGTTCAGCAAACGAAAGTGAACACATACATTCTCAATGGTCGAGTTGATCTACTTTTAAACTACTCATCTTAAGTATGTGACAGCACTATTATTATTATTATTACTAGGAAAGTGATAAAATAAATTATAAGAATGTGTACATTTCCTGTAAAACCAAGGCAGAACTTTATGTTAGCCTATACCTACTGTCTTAACTTACTAATCACAGGTTATTCTGATCCTCCAATCTTCAATAGAGATCTTCAGGTTCCCCTTGAAATGAAATATTTCTTTGTTATCCATTGAATTGTGATGATATTTACTACCTTGTGCATAATTTTCTTTGTCTTGATTTTCTCTGATATGTTTTGTTTGTTTTGCAATAGAAATAAATGCATTTTTTCTTTTTGTACACAAATGTGTTCTCATTCGTTCGTTTGTGGCTTTTATTTTTGACGTAATTATTGTATCTTTTGCTTCGACGAGTTATCTTCATATATCAAGAAATGAGATAATTAATAACCGTTTAGTCTATGTAACAGTCATTTCAATGTCGTAAGTTTCAGTATTATCCACTTACGTCCAGTTGGTAATTTTAGGGATCTGATTGATTCAAACAAATAATACGTGGTTGCAGTAACCACGTCTTGTCTTTTTCTATGATCGAATAGGTGTATTCCGCTGTTTAAAACAAATAACTTTCTACTCGCATCGATAATTATTTGAGAAAATTAGAGAACCGGTGTATCTGACCTTAAGAAAGCTTCTATCTGCTCCGTCACTGACCTCAAAATGTCACTCGCATGATCAGTGCATGGGTTTTTTACTCACTGAGTTGCTAACTAAATTGTTTACACTTCCCAATTTCCATAAATATCCTACAGTGAAATCATTCTTTGATTTAATCGTCAAATATCTGTCAATATTCTTCTATGAATCATTGTTTTTGTGAGCAATAATGCAGTTCCCTGTCTTAGCGTAACTCAAAATGTCGTCTAATACTAGGTAGTTTTATTCACCTACTCTCTACCTTTCAGTTTTATTTACATTTGTTTGTCGATTGCATAGCATTTGAAAACAAACCTATATCTTCTGACTTACATTTGCTGGGTGGTTTGTGTCTCGTTCTGCAAGTTGAAGCAAATTTAGTATATGCAAATGGAGTGTATGCCATAAGGCGTATGTTTGAAATCGGAGTTTACTATTCTAACCAATAACACTTGCCTGAAGCATTTTCTCATTTATTTACCTTGAAAAATGTGGCACATTATGGTGTTTCATCTCTGTATTCGGTTATCAAATATGATCCGTGTCTGTGACTGTCACTTGCTGTTCTGCCTCTGCTTTTCACATCCCAGCTTTCAATTGATTACTCGTCAGCTCCCTTGTACGCAATCGAATATCTTATCGGTGCTACAAAAGGCGAAAGTTGCCTAAAGCCAATCAAGCCATTCTTATCCGTGCAGAGATTTCGTCGGTCATTAGGGTAAAATGACTTCTAAGGCAAAAACAGTAGTCAATGCGCCCCATTGATGAACATCATTCAACTCAAATCAACTGAAGTGAACTAATAACTCATTATAGGCTCTTACTCGCTCACGGGTGTTCGAGTACACAGCTTTCAACAGAGTAGTATACTCACTCTACACCTTTCAGTGAGAGATACTACTGAAAGACTCCGATTGATGACTCTGAACGGCATCACCAGGTCAGGAAATCACCTACTATTGTCACTAATAAGTACACTGTAATTCAGAGACTAGTTAGTATTGGGGTGAACATCTAGTCAATACATTCACAACCAGGTCTGCCATATTGCTTGACATTCTCCAGCTAGATTTTCAACCTCGGATGCCTATGTAGAGTTGTTCACGTACAGTGGTGGAATAACCCTGTGAAGAATGTTCAGCTTAGGTATAGCGTACTAGACGAAGAAAGACAGGTCAGTCGATGAAGCTGTGAACTTTCACCGATTGAGTCATCGTGAACATGTGTTATGCATGTACCGAGTCACTGCGTACACTGACTTGTGATACTAACGGAAATAGCACTTTGTTGGGAGAAGGCTAACGCTGAACAGACTTAAATGTGGCACCAACCCATGGAATCCTAGGCCGGTGACCTGAGCCGTGTAGGGGTGTGTACACTGCTCGACTGCAGTCTGTGAGATGATAGAATTCAATGTTGGGGGATTCTTGATGATGTGGCTAAAAGTTGCTGACAATGGGGTAGATGCATTCACTCTCTTTCGATGTTTGCATATTGTAATTAGCCTACAAAATTTCAAAATTCTCTCTCCTCCAGTACACCCTTCTCTAATTTATTGTCACTCTTTCCTTGCATGCTGTTGTGAAGTGTGTCATTGTGGTCTGATACAATCCTATACAAGGTTCCAACTTGATTTCTCTATCTGAGTATGCTGCTCGTGAGCTTCACTCAGTTGTCTATCTAGTGATTATAGAACCTAGGGGTTTTGGATACTGTGTTCATCAGATTCCTGTGTGCTAGGTAATATTTCAGTTAACCCGACCAGTAGTCTTCCAGTACTGGTCCACGTGTTCCCACTATCCTTCCTTGTTTCAGGTTACTTGCAGACTTCTCAACGTCAGCGGGAGTTGTTGGGTCTCTCTCAGTGTCCAGTTTGAGATTCGGTTGAATATCGACAGGAGGAATAGCAGTTGTATGCCAGTTGAACTGTTTCTCGAAGTGTCCTGTCTGTCGTTCCTTATGAATCGCAAACGAATCGTTCTTCGCTTTGGTTCGGCTAACCAGTGACATTTTTCTCTAGTTGTTCCGCTGACGTTTTTGAATAACTTTGCTGTTGCTTATCACCGTGACCCTTCTATCTCTTCAGCTATTGCTGCCTTCCACTGCTGTTTGTCATTGCGAAGATTTCTTGTCAGTTTGCATTTGATGTGCTTCCGCTTTTCATTATCCCCAAACCTTTCAGGAATACGTCCACAAGTATCTGTTAATCTAGAAGCTGTTGAGATGCCCTGGTCCTTTTTATTTCTTTTCGATGGTTATTTAAAATCTGTCCTTACTGCAAACTTCAGGTGACTCCAGCCTTTTTTCGCATGAGTTACGTCATAATGCTACGAGTTTCATGGTGTGTTATCACTGTTTTTTTGTTGTCACCAATGATACGCACTTTCTCATCATATTCATAGCCAGAAAAAGTTTTTCGAAAGTGTGTACAAAACAGTTATTGTTCTGAGTGAAAAATAACACTAAGAGGGATTAACTCTGCCATCTATATTATCCATTCATCCTCATATTCGTACATGTCTTCTGTAATAAAAATAGTCATGGGGCTTAATTCACTGATTACTTTTCTTTCAGTATGAAATATATTGGACAAAAAAAACTGGATATGTGTCCATCGAGATGTTTAAGCGCCTATGGGTAGATAAAAAGCTGACGAATCTCCTAAATCACTAATTGTAATTTACGTATAAGGGTTGGTACAATGAAAGAAACATAAGATGCGTGTTGCTATACATGTCCTTAGAAAACCAGTGTTCTGCTTAAGTAGCACCATTTCCTCAAGTTCACATTTGATCGACACGACGGATTATACAGACTGAAAGAACGAATTCCGGATGTACTTTAATTCATGGAAACTAATTGTATTGAAAGGTGGAAGCCTGTCGTAACACGTTGAATATTAGTGTGTTCTGCTTCCCATCCTACGACACCATGTCTGAATAAACTGAAATAGAAAAAGACTAGATGAACGTAGAATCTCGCATCCAAATGCATCTTTTCGAGTTAACGCACTTAACAGTAGAATACAAAGTACATGTGGATAGGAAAGACTGATATTGAAGTAGACTGACGGGATTGGGGGAGAGCAAATTTAAATGTTTGGGTTTGTCAAAACACTCAAGCTTTATGAGACATCAAAGTGTGAATACACCTGCGCCACTGTGACCGATCTTCAGTCACTTCACTTACTAGCATTTTCACCCAGCAGGACAATATTGTCTGCATTCTCAAAGTCATCCAGGGTATAGCTCAGTTCCTGTGACATGAGGATGGAAAGAAAGGCTTAGCCTGAAGAAGGACCAATCAAAATGTATTTTATGTTATCACGTGTACAGTTAGACAGACAGCGGTGGATCAGTCAATCAATAGTATTATTTAAACAGCGAACTATCTATACATTAGATGTATTTCTCTTTGTTCTTGTCTTCGATCTTTCGACCCTATTACACGTTTCTACACGTCCATGTCTTCATCGATTAGTCAGGTCGGGAATCAACTAGGAAATTGTTGAACGTTGGTGGGTGACACTCGATATCTGTGCATCATTAGCGGGCATGGCACATAGCAGTTTCCGAAATTATAACAGGTTTCATCAGTCAACACGTCTCCAACGAAGTTGAATAGGAATGGTGACAGTGGAAATCCCTGGCGGACATCACAAGATGTCTCCAGTTCAGATAACAACTCTCTATAAGCACCTAGTAGCTCTGTCAATCCCAGCAGAGCGCTAATATTAGCGCTATATATACTTTTGGATACTCCCTTCACAGCCAGACGTTTCTACAACACCTCATGGTCGATAGAGTTAAATGGTGGTCGAACCTCAAGAAATATGACCAGTGTCGACCGTCCATAGACAGATCTATGTTCCGTAACCCCTCGATGTGTGAAGATTTGATCGATGCATTCTGTTTCAAGTCTGTAACCTGTATGGTTTTCTCGAATTCCACTTAGGCATCGGATAACTATGGATACATGGATCTTGAACACGATATTATCAAAACTGATCCCCCTTTTGAAACAATTAGTCTCTTTTTTAAATTTAGATAATGCAGTTAGAAGACGTAGATTATCTGAAAAACGTGATATATTTGCGCTATACATTTCGAACAATCTGACTACACATTTACTTGTTAGGGTATTATATATGAAAAGTGGAAGTGGGGGAAGGACAAATATGACATAAAGGAAGATAATGAAAGGAAAAAAAGATAAGATTTGAAGACAATCTTGGTAATATGACAAAATAAGCATTACCAAGAAGGCCTAACGTAAGGACAAACTGTTTTTGCACGCACAATTGAGGGTTCAATTTTTTTATGGCTAGCGCCTCAACAAACTTAAGTATATGCCCTTGATGGCCATGGGAAGTCCCCCAGGACCATTGCTAGCTGATATCTACATGTCACACATTGACCGACGTTCTCATCAGTAAAAGATGTGTCGATGATATAATCGTAACAAGCATGAAGACGCGACATGTTTTTTAGAAAGACTTAACATCGTACAAACAACATAAGTCTAACACGTTATGAAGAAAAAGAAAACCGTCTGCCTTTCTTGGATATACTCTTGAGTCGTAAAAGTGATGGTTCAATAAAACGGTCGATTTACAGAAAACCTACTTTGTCAGGTCAGTATTTAAGTTTCCATAGCTTTTGCTTAACCCAATACAAGGGAGGTTTGGTAACTTGCCTATTTAAAAGGAATAAGAGTATTTGTAAGTAAGACTCAATGGATAATGATGTCCTCTACAGGTTGAGGACTGGTCTCATGTCCAGGTAAGTGCCTAGTTGTCTCCTCCCTAAATACCCATATGGAAAGCACTCATATAATTAACTGTGGCCTGTTTCCTGCTACCTATAAGATGCAGACATACTCGGGCCCGTACTAACGCGTGACCGGAGTTCGAACTGGTACTCCAGAAAGGCCAGTAATCCTCCACCGATCTTCTCCAATGATCGCTTATTGCAATATGATCTATCTGTGTCCATCGGTATGTGAGACAAGGTCTCTCATTATGCCTAAAGTTAGTGCTGGTCAGAAACAAAGGATTGGCGGGACAAAATTACAAGAGACGATCACCGTTGTCGGTTCTTTGGCATGGGATTCCGTAAATACCTCCCAGATGCCTCTCCGACTAACTCAGCTTCCCTACTTAAGCGTTAAAGTTACCTACCATTATGACTACATCTAATCGTTTTGCTTTCCTCATAGAATTCATCCTTTACACCATCTGAACTACAGTCAGTGGGTTAGTAGAGGGGGTTTACGAATCGATATCACTTGGTCTCATGATCCTTCCTAGTTTTTACAGATCCATTCAATCGAACAGCACAGAGATGCTTATTTGCTGGCATGCAGTCGAGAAGTGCACTTTCTGCCGTACAACTCAATCGATGTCAGAGTCTTATGAGATAAGGAATGAGGTTTTGATGGCTTTGATCGTTGGCAATGATCACAGAGGGAGAGGGTGAAGAAGTTGTAGGCGGCCTTATATTAGTATAAGAAGCTGAATTTTTTAGGAGGAGGGACAGTTGGAGAGGATAAGTTATCTTTGTATTGTATACTGCTAGAAACGTACGGCTGGTTGATACTTCCCATCTCTCCACACCATAGAAGTCTATTACTTCTTAATGTAGCTGAAAGAGAAAAAGTTTTGTCACCACAGAGCCCATAGGACATCTGCTTGCTATCTGCCACGCACAGCATTTTCTGGATTGTTGTTCTGACTACAGAGAGAGAAAACTCATACTGCCGGCATCGGAAGATCATGGAGCAGGGGGGAGTGTGTTATCTTCAGTTCCAACTTTTCCTAACCACGTCTCCGACTGAGAAGGCGGCATCAGCATTATACTGCTGCTCATCTAGGGCAAACACCTTACTGCTGTCACACCTCACCCAGCCAGCAGCAGCACGACTTCACCTTCAAAACCCTATCATAGTGTAGGAAATTTATACTACAGTTGTAATCGCTTTTTGTCTTACCACTAGCCAACATGCCTTTCTGGTAACATAGGACTTCGATTAAACAAGCGTTCCACCAGCAAGCCTGACCGCCATGTCAAGGTAGCAGCTATCGGTTGGGATAGTAACATAAATGTGCTTTATCTGCATAGAATTCACTGTATTCCCACCCCTCTGGCCGTTTATTTGATTACTTTCACCATTCAGTTATTGCTATGAATGTTGTTGAACTGTCACTTCATCCGCTCAAACGTTTTGTATTATCCACTCAATAGTTCTATTGAATAATCTATTCCATCATTTTCGAAAGTATTTAGTATTTAATTCATTTTTAGTCGTATTTCATTCACAGCTTTTGGTTGACTAAATAAAAAGTGTTAGAATGGATTTGTCATGTTGTGTAAACTTTGTAGCTTTTTAGTTATTCAGTTTCATATAAATTTGAGATAGTGAATTATTTTATTTACCTTCCTTGTAATGTACTATGAAAGTTGTACGACAAACGTTTCTACTAGGACAAAAGTTATTATTGATGGAAAATGGGATTGCATCCACTTTTTAAGCTATGAAATCCCTATTCATAGTACTAAAATCTACTATATTAGTAAGACATTCATGAATAAACCGTATTATCTAAATTTCCTACTGAGTTTGTGTTTGTTACTGAATTTGTGGTGTGGTACAGCAATCAATACACTTCATGGATGTAATAATTCTATTGAATTGAGACCTAAGTTTCATTTATCGATAAACAAAAAGAAATTCTTTTGTAGCTTGAGTGATGGTGGAAGTAAAAACTATATGGTTTTCAGGATTATTCAGTCATTCTCACTTGTTCTTATATCTTGTGTAACTACGGCTTATTAAGCATGACGCGTTCCATTCTATCTTCACAACCTCCAAATAATTATCACTCACTAGTTTGCTAAGATGTATATGATGAATGACTTTCTGTTCATGTTGCTTGACATTTTTCTCCTTTTCAGAAGAATTAAAATGGAGGTGACGAATTCAGCGGAAGGAGTTGGTGTGCCTGTGACGGACGTTTCGGCTACTTTCGATGATGAACATGTAATATTTGATGTGTAGTTCGTTTTGTTATTTTACACTAACGTGAAGCATATTTTTCTCTTGATATTTTTGTCAAGCCTAGTGCATGAGACAACTATGCATTGTTGTTGCTCATGAGTATTGCAATCACTTGATTTAACCTTCTTGCTAAGTCAGACTCGCTTCAAAAGTTTCCACTTTTATTCAAAGGGTTTTAGAACAGTTTTACTCAAAAAGTAATGGTTCGTTTTCGTATTACTTCTTTAAATTGACCCTAGAAGTACAGAAATCTAGAAACCACCTCCACGATTAGTTGGTTCACTGTTGGACCATAATATTTGGTCATCTCATTGACTTCTAATTTCAAGTATGAACGTATCCTAAGAAAAATCAACTTATTCGCCCGTGGTTTTGCTGTAACATTAATTTTCAACGTTGATTCACTTTCGTCTTTTGAAACTAGTGAATCGCTGGGTCTTATTTGTTGAAGATGTGAGTCATAGCATGAATAAATTATTTTGTACAGTGTTAGGTAAAAACATGAGTTTGTTATCTTACTGCAAACGGTCATGCTGTATAGGGTTGTGAAACAAGAAAGTGCTTTTACCGAGAATGCGATTTCTTAATCTAGTCTTTATTGTTTGATTTCTGAAAGCTATGTGGAACCGTATTTCAATCATAAAGTAATGTGTATTTCAAGGAGCAACCTTGTCATGTGGCTGATATGCTGTATATTTAATAAAGAACATTCATTTGACTAATTAGTCAGTGATGCCAGATGCTGATATACTGCGTAGGAGTCAATTAGTAATAGTATTTCAGCGAATATTGATTAACATTTGTTACTACTCAGCAACCTAACATCATACTGGGACAGTTTTGACTGGACTTGACAAACTCTGTGTGTTTATGCTTTGCTTTTTAGTGACGTATTCAGGTAGAAAGGAAATTCGGATTGAGATTTTACGGTTGATTGCTTGCTACCATCCATCGATAATTTAAAAATACTCGCATGTTAACTATCACTAATGGACTAGACTTCTCCATACTTTTAATTGTCTTTACGAGCTGAATCCGACGACGACGAAGCATATCCATGGAGTCTTTTATCCTCTTTAACAAGTAGATAATTTTTTAAGATGATTCTTTGACGTGTGTATCCTAAGTATACTAGTTAAGAATTGTGTTCTATCTTCTCAATTTTCATTGACCAGATCTCATAAAAAGTTCGAATGCCTTTTTAGAAAATGTGGCATATTCATAAACTATTCTTTACTGTGTGGTAACGAATGTTCATCCATTTGACATCATTCTTACATAAATCCCTACGATTTCTGATGCAAACATTCTCAATGAAAGGTTGACGTTTGTGTGAAGAGTATATTTACTTTTAAAAACATTTGTTTCACCAATTACTCATGTTTTGTTGGTTTAGATATTTCCTCTCTTGTAACTTGACACTATCAAATATGCAACATTCATCAGGATTTATGCGTATATGTGTTGGTAGTTACTATTAATTGTGATTTCCTGCATTTTTGAAGCGGTAAATGAGTTTTCTTAAAACAAATTTATTGAATCTGCGAAAGTCCTGTTTGAAATTCGTTGAAGGCCATGTTATAAATACCTGACCAACTGTCGAATCTTGTCATTCATTTGGTGTTTCACTGAAACTTCAAATCGGAAAGTGGCAATTAGTTTAAATTCAATGACAACCTAAGTTTTCGTGTAATTCACTTTTGTACAGTAATTTGAAGACGTCACTGAATGGATGAAGTCTTGGATAAAAAATATCAATTATCGACGTAGATAAGAACCAATATGTTACATTTTGTTTCTCTAGCAGATTATTTAACTTTTCAGATGATATTCATTCATCTCTGTCACATTTTCAATCTTCATTAGGCTAATTTTAGACTATTCAAAGCATATAAAGAAGGTCAATTGGATTTGAATATTTTAAGCACTCAGGATGCAATTTCAGCTTCATCAGCTGTGATCGGTAGTGCTTCAGCATCATCTTCATCAGCCGTGTTAAATGATAGTCAGCAGGAGGAAAATCCGAAGCAATCTTTACCGAAATCTTGGTGTGGATTACCGTCATCTGCCGAAATGAATCAGTCACCGAATAAAAAGCTAACTTTAGGACTCTTTTTCAAACCTAAACCGCCAAGCGATATTATCGATTCTACATGTGAATCTCAAGGACCATCGATAATACGTGTTCCCGTTTCTTCTGTTGACTCAGCAGATGACAATAAAAGGTAATTTCAGTTTCTTACGAATTGCTTTTCTACGAATTGACTTGTCACTAGAGGGTAGCCTATTGCTTATTGCCTAGTCCTAAGTGCTGACCGAATTTTACGGATCATTTTGCAATCTGGTCTCCGAAATAAGAGAACCAGCGTCACGGTGCACTTTGATTAATAGTAATATTTATTTAGTATGATATATATTGCTGACAGTTTTAAGTTGTTGAGAAAAACAGAACAAAGTAGAAACTCGAATATCCTATAGAATAACTTTAGAATATGCCAATAATCTACTTAGTCTTTGGGTCGTTTCGTACATCTACTGATGATGTGTACCAAAATATGACGAAAACCCTTAAGAACAAATTTATTTCGTTTTACATTCATTAGGAAATACAGATGCCAAAATGATGAAAACCCTTTGTGTTCATGCTTAGTTTTCGTTACCAAACCTCCTGTTGTGAATGATACATCTCCGCACAAATCAAATAGTCAGCATACTCAGTATCACAACCATTTCCTAAACCAGGTTGTGACATAAAGGGAAAAATCCAGTCGAAAGCACATTTACGTAAGTGGATGTTATGTAAACACGAAAACTTTATTTCAAGTGTTTAGATTTGAGCTCTTCAACGGCACATACATAGCTGCTGTCTATTTTTCCTAACCGACTTCTGCTGCCTTGATATAGTGGCCAGGCTTGTATGTCACAATGACCCAAAGAGCTATGCTGGTGAAACGCTTGTTCCCTCAAGGTCTTATCATACTAGAAAAGTCTGTTACCTATTAATAAGGCGAAAAGCAGTTCACGTTGTAGTATATATGGCTACACTATGATAGAGGTCTGAAGGCGAAGTTGTACTGCTGCTGGCTGGATTGGGTGTCATAACAGTAAGGTGTTTACCTTACATGAGCAGCAGTATCGCACTGCTGCTGCCTTACCAATGGGAAGGGAGGGCGTGGAAAAGCTCGGCTCGAGAATAACATCCTGCACCCCGTCGAGTCATACCTACACTTGATTCATAGTCGGATTCAAAAGTGAAAACCCAAATCTGAAAATCGCTGAAAGGCTATGTGACCAGCCTCAAGCAGATGTCTCATGAACTCTACTATTACACACTATCTCTTCTTTTTCCGGTACCTCAAGAAGAACTAGCATTTCACCCCGTGGGCAGCCGGGCAGTGCCAACCTCCCGCACCCTTCCAGTAATACACAAGACCCAATCAAGCACTGCTTATTCTCCTCAACTCTGTCTCTCCTCCTGTATTCATCTGCTGATACTAATATTAGACCTCCTAAACCTTCAACCTCTCACTCTGTGACCATTACCAACGACCAACGACATCAAAACCTCATTCCTCATCGCCTAAGACCCTGACATCGTTTTCTGTTTGCAGGTTTCAACGTCCTAACTCTATACTGAATTTGACAGTAAGCATCGCTCACCAGAATCCTGGAATCTGTAGTCATGGATGTATTATGTGTCTCTTAAACATGGATTCAAGACTCGAGTGTGGTTATTAAACTGACCTCACCTGGTCATAGTTGTGAATCTTCAAAGTCCACCTTAATAGTATCCGTAACTCCAATGTCTAGCTCTCGTAGACTCGCTGGTGTACGTGTAGACTTGCGCTGTGTAGCTGAAAGTGTGTTTCTCGACCGTATACTAGAAACACCTGTCTGTGTGTTGTTCGACTGAATGGATCTATAAAGACTAGTATGTATCGTAAAACTGTGCGGTGTCTATTCGTAATCTCCTCTTACGCGCCCGCAGAGTGCAGTGCGCAGGATGAATTCTATGGGAAGCACTGAGTTTTGCTACAGAAATTAAAAGGTTCAAATGTAATCATAATAGCAGGTGGCTTTAACTCCGAAGTAGGGAAGCTAAGCAAGTAGAAAATGCCAATCGAATACTGCCAAAACCTAAATGTACTAAAAGTTTTCGCACCAGTCACCAGCAGTGTGATGGTAGCGAAACTAAGCAAAAAGGATGATAAAGGCATCATTGTTGGGTAGGACTTGGCAACTATTTAGGCTTATTAAGGATGCCAGCAAGAAGAAGACTATGGTCTGGGTAACCATCGCTGAGAAGAATGAGATGCTGATAACCTTTCAGCATAGATAATGTTTGGTGGAGCACTTAAAGCACAGTTCATGTGACCCACACGATCATCCTGCATTCACTCTCAGCCTAAGTGGCACGTAAATGTTGGTCTTCGATCGCTTCCTCAGTTTGAGAAGCCTGTATTGAATTTAAAGCGATGCAAAGTAGCTAAATTTAATGATTTGTCACCGGAAATTCTGATGTATGCAGGTAGGAAACTGGTGTTTGGAGTGACGATACTAAATGGCGTATGAGAATCGGAAGTAATCCTATCCGATTGGTCTACTTTAGTGATCATTCCAGCCTGTGAGAGAGGAAAGTGAAGTTTTCTTGCTTCGAGCGCAAAGGTCCTAGGGTCCATATTTATCCAACCCCAGCTGGAGCTCGAGAACAGTATATTCGAGAAAAATAAGCAGGTTTTAGACTTGGTGAAAAGTCTGTCGATCAAAGCTCCATACTTTGACGTGTATGGAGCCGGGTCTCAGCAGTTTGAGGAAATGACTACCAACCAGTGGGTCACGGGTTCGAAACCCGCAGCCCGGTAGAATCACTAACCCTCACAAAATAGGTGTGGCTCATTGTCTGTTTCGCCATGCTATGAAGCCCAGGCTTACCTGCGAATAGTTGACACTGGCCATATTTTTTGAGATCCGGCCGGCATTTGACTCTGTCGACCATGAAAATTTGTAGAAATGTCTGACTGTGAAGGAATCACCCAGTGAGTATGTAATGCTAATCAAAGCTCTCTACTGGGACTGACCCAACTGTGTAGGTGATTAAGGTGAGCTGATGAGAAGTAGTGGGTATTCAAGCCGAATAGATGGCTGCTGTAACCGTTCCCGTTTAATTTCCATATAGTTGTATTTATGAAAATGATATTGGGTACCTCCAACTGGAAAAGTATTGATCTAATCTGTGGAGGACTTTTGGTTGACTTAGAGTACGCAGAGGATATTGATTTGTGGGCAATGAAGCTAACAAAATGCATGGCCTTTTGAACGTGTTGATCAGAAATCTGAATATGTTTGGCATACGTTTAACACGTGTCAGATGTAAGATGATGCATGAATTTCCTTGTCGTGTTCTGATATGTATCTAGACAGTTCCTCACTGAAAGCGGCTGTTGTACTCCCACCATTGAGCTGGGCTTGGAATAGTTTTATGCTGTATTTTATCTACGTTTATTAAAGCGGGACATGTTCGTACATGAATCAGAGTGTGATTCCTCTCCAAACACTTACTTCAAAGGGGCTAGTAATGTCCTACCGACCCTCTCTATCGATTGCTGATGGTAATTTGGTCTACCTGTACCCACCGCTAATTAGAGTTTGGCGGTCTGCACTTCAGACAGTGTGTCTTTCCATATCTTAAGTTTGTGTTGTTTAGAAATTGGTAGTTATCTTAGCATAGTTGTAGCAGGCGATCATCATCATGTGTTCGTTCACCTTAGATTCCGAAAGTGCCAGCTAACTGCCTTCAAAGCCTGATATAGGCTGCCCGTGTATATATTGAAATCAACTGGTACGACAACCACGTCTCAGCGTTTAACTTTCAGTAGAAAGTTAGATAGTTTTCGGTAGAACTCATATTTCTATTCGAACTGTGGTCGGTGTGTACATAAGCAGAGATTACAAAGAGGCAACTGTGAGTTTTACGGTTCTTTTAGTCTTTACCGTGTTTTTCAGTCAAACAGCTCACAGACAACTGCCAGCTGTAATACAGTTAGGGAGAGCACTTTCTGCTCTATGACTAAGTGTTATACCTACACTCGTTAATCCATTGAAAGCTAGTCATTGAATCTCCAGAAACCCATGGAGTGAAGTTTGCAGATACAACATGTTGGTTGGGTAAAGTTGAATGGATAACCGCTCTTGGGTCCTGTATGTGTGTCTCCCAAACACATCACACATCCATTGTCCAAGATCCTATAGGTTTTGGATACGGAAGCTTTTTGTCCAACTTGTTGCAGGATGCGAACATTGAAAGGTTTGATGCATAGTTTGGAGTACAGTTTTAATCAACTATAGGTACTGTTCCGTAAAATTGAATCTTAATCGAAAGCTCCAGAGTTGAAAGAAATTAAATTCAACTTGGAAACATTGATCGAAAGAAGTGGAGAGAGATTAGAGGTCAAATATATGGATGACCGGCAAACAGAAAAAATCAGCTTAGAACCTCGCACATAAGTCCATCAGCTCAAGTTGCCACACTTCACAGTAGTACACAAAGAATAGTTGGATAGAAAAGGAGTGATATAAAAGTAGACAAGTTGTATGAGAGAATAGGTAATTTGAAGATAACGATTAGTGCGAATATCCAAGCTTTAGAAGACGTCATTGAGTAAATACATCTGCACTATTGTGACCGATTCCAGCCATGTCATCAAGAACTCTTAATCACTGTTTTCGGGGAACCCAACTAGGCAGTCTACATCTCCCATCACCGTTACGGCGAACAGTTGTGGACTTCATGAACTAATGCCACGTCTCGATCTGACCTCCCTAACGTCTCTTCTGATATAATCCAATTTCAGGCAATGAAGGTTCCACAACCCCATTAATCAACTTGCCCGTTGTGTCCAGTATGTCACCTAACCACATCATTGCTCACATTGTGATTCCACTAAACGTGAGTGTTGTGCTACGTAGACACTCATAGTCAAAACCCTCCAAGCGCTTCATGTCTTATACTTTCAACGGTCATGTTTCTCAGCCGTATAAAAGAGGATAGAATGGACTGCAGTGTAGTATGCTCGTCCTTTTATAGATAGTTGGATATCTCGCCAGTCGACGTCACAGATGATGCAAGTTGCCAAATGACGAAATGGTGTCCTGTATCCGAGCTGAGATTTTGTCAGAAACCAGCCCGTTTCAGTTGATGTAACTCACAAAGTAAGTGAAGTGGTCGACACATTCTACAACTCCACTCCCTATCATTAAACTGGCAGTTCTTTCAGTAGGACAGCATCAACGGGACACATTCTAAACATACTCAGATTTTTGCTCATCGCATTTTGTCAGCGTCTTCACCTAGCAGGACAATATCGTCTGTATTCTCCAAGTCAACCAGATGACCTCCAGGTAGGGGAGTAGGTCAATCTCCGTGAAGTCAGACATATCTAAGGTTATGTTCATTAGTACGTCTATAGCGAGGACAAATAGGAAAGCAGACAATGAAAATCCCTGGCGGACATCACTAGTTGTCGTCAGTTGTGATGACAACTCTTCATAAGCCATGAAGCAGTTGTTTGTGTTTGAGTAGAGAGATTTGATAAGCATTATTTACTTTCTCGGCACTTCCTTCATAGTCAGGCACTTCCACAACACCTCATTATCGACAGAGTCAAATGCCCCCTTCAGGTTGAGAAATATGGCGAGTGTCGACCACTGGTCCTTAGGTATGCCTATGTTCCTGAGCCTGTCGGATGTTGGAAATATGATCGATCCGCTTGCTTCTAGATCTGAGACCTGCTTGGTTTTCTCGAGTTTGTTTTCCTCGAGCTGGGCAACTATGGACCCTAGAATTTTCGACACAGTATTTATTCAACTCATTCCCCAATGATTATCACAGGATTTCTCACCCTTCTTATAGACTGGGATGATCAATGAGGTATGCCAGTCTGACGGGACTACCTCTGATTTCCATACAACTCCTAGAATCTTCACCAATCTAATCACCAACTTTCTACCTCCATCTTTGAAAACTTCGGATGGCAAACTATCATATCCTGATGCTTTACACCGTTTCACGTTCGATACAGCCTTCTAAACTTTAGGGAGAGTTGGAGGACCGATATATACGTCCAACTGAGGCTCAGACTTGATGTTGAGAAACTGAAGCATTGCTGTGTGTCAGTGTGCTTCAGAGTGTTCTGACCATCGTTCTAGCTGCCTAACGCTGTCATATCAATGATTATGAGCAATAATTTATGCTCGAAACGTCACTGAGTAAATAATACTATACCACTTTATGTTATAAATGAAATAAACAAATCTAATACGGAATTAAGTTCTACCATAGTGTCCAAGTTTTACATCTATACAAAAGATTTATGAGTTTTTGTGGTACTTTCCGGTTGCACACAGTGTAAGCGTGTGTCTGATTGCGACACTTAAAAAAGGAACTGTATTAGTACTGGCGGTACATAGTCGTTTGGTCAATGGGTCATCTATTTGAGATTGTTTTTTGGAATTTCGAAGTTCAGCTTTGATTGAATTATATCCAGTTAAAAACTGATGCGGCCTGTAATGGAAGGTTGCAAGCTAACGACGAGTGCGTTGCTGTTGAGACTGAACTGTTATATTTCCCTTCCAATAGGACATGCAACCTCAGCATGGTACTCCTGGTCATTCACAAAAAACGTCTTGCTGCTATAAAACCTGTGTTAAGCTAGCAGTACGACTTTCTCCTGGAACCCCCACCATAGCGTAGCAGTTCACGATATAAGAGTAGCTACTTTTCATCTTACCAGTATCCGGACGTCGTTTCCTGTGTGATATAACTTCAAAGGAGAAATGTATGCACTAGCATAACTCTTTCGGTAATAGGGATGTGTAAGTTCGACCACTACGGTGTCAGCGTAGCAGCTATCGGCTGAGAAGAAAGGTATATATATATATATATATATATATATATATATATATATATATATATGGATTAATCTATTCTTTCACAAATCGCTCGTCTTTTACACATGTTTTGACGATCTTGTCTACTAGGAAAGGATTTTTTATTGGATCCGACTGTTCTAGTAATTATTACTACAATGCCTTTCTCCTTAGTATTCGATCTATCTCCCTGTTTTTTTTTATTTTAAGCAGTAGTTATGTATAGTTATTTACAGTTGGTTTAATTTCAATACAATGATAGCGTGACCTTTTTAAATTTGTAGAACTCAAACAGGAACAGTTTTACCACGTGGGAGTGCTATTCTTGTTAACCAACGTCAGGTGAGTTTTGATTGGTATATATTAAGTTTGACGTTTACTACCTACCATTGCATATTTCATTTTTCCTAGTGTCAAATTTTTGTACTGTAACAAATTCAGATTATGTATTGTAGTCTTCTTTAGAATCATCCCCATCGCACAGTATTTCAAGTTGAATAAAACCACTTTTAGACATAGTGGTGACATTAGGAGCGTCATTATATCTATAGTTGAAATGTTTACAATTTTGACGCCGAAAATTAAGCAAATCACATCACAGCGTAGTCTAAGTTAGTAATTACCTGTCAACAGGGTTATACGTAAACGCTTTTTTCAAATAAACAATCTTTCTCCTTCAATCCAGTTAATTTTTTCTTTCAATTTTCAATGTATCAGCATATTCGTTGATCATTTTTTAAGTAATCATGTAGTTATAATATTGATTATCGTCGATTTTATTTGTTTTTAATGTATCTAGAGAGGCAATGTTGTTCTAAAACAGATACGTAATGTTGCATGGGAATATGCAGATATTGAACCGGATTTTGTTGTTGGAAGAAATAACTGCGTCTATTTCTTGAGGTAGGTCTGTTGTTTGTTTTTTGACGTATGACAGTAATACATGGATTATATTTCAATGTACACTTCAGCAGAAAAAACTACTTGATAAACTAGCAAAACGCATTTTAGAGAAAAGTAGTGGGACTGCAACCAGATGATCATTTCTCTCCATTGGAAAGTTATATTAATATCTTAAATATGATATGTTGTCATTATCAATTAGTGATAAACTGGTCTTGCATCGTTATTTGCTACTGTTATTTACTAGGGGTATTGACCACAGCTCTCATAAACTTTCACGCCTTACACATTTCCTTTATATCTCAGCACATGCAATTTTTTTACTCCTTGGTGTAGCCTGTTAAAGTTTCACCTGCATCTGTTAGTGTGACTATTCAAAGCGTTATGAAAAGCTTGAATACCTAGAAAAATATATGGAAGTAGGTAAACTCAGTTGAATAAAGTTAATCATCTTACTATGTATGCCTATACCATTCAATTTATAGCCATTACTTTGATGCTTAAGATCATAATGTGAGTAGGAATATCTGGTCAATCAGATGATAACATTAAACCTTTCAGAATAGATGTTACATTCAACCAGTGTACTACCACGTACTTAGTTCTTTAGTTGAATTCTCCAGTGTAAAATAGTTACATTTCTGTAAATGTATGCCTACACGTAAGTAGCTGTACTTGAACACTCAACAGCTGGTAAATTGTCTCACGATATATATAAATCTGCATGAAAGTGAAAAATTAAATGAATACACTGCTCGTTATTTTATCTCGAAATATTCATTTTAACAAGATAGTTCTCCATAAAGTATCCATTTCAGTACTCCTTTAGATAAATTTCTCGGGTATACTATTTTAAATTCAATGATAAATGATAGATGCTTCTCTCGGAAGCTTTTCTAATATGTAAAGATACGTAGTTCTTTTTGAAAAAGCGCTGTCAGCTTTAACTACAGTTCTAAAAACAATTTGAAAGGCTATGACATTTTGTAGTCAATGAACATCTCAGGAAAGTTGATGTAACTTTGCGAACAAGGAATTAAAATGAATGTAGTCAAACATTATCTAATAAGCCTAGTGAAACAAAAACGCCGTATTCAGCATGAAATTCAAAGGACGAATAGTTAATAGCTGTATGAGTAAACAAATGGGAGAGGTTACAATAAAATCCCATCCGAATGTAAATGAAAACATTCCACACTGATGATGAAATTCGTAATACTCAGAAGGTGAAAAGAAAAAGATTTAATACAAATGTGGTCAGAATCCAAACAAAGAGAGGAAGAAGACTATTCAACCATATGCTGTGGAACTAACTTAAGTAAATACACGGGGAGGATGTATAAACTACAATTCCCTATGAAACAGTACTGAGGATTGTTTTTAAATTGAAGTAAAAAGCCATGCTTAGTACAACTGAAGTTTAGAGAGCTGTTAAGATCCTAAAAATAACCGTTACGTAAAAGTGTTCATGAAGTGACTTTTTCCTAAGTGGCTCCCGATAAAAAAATTACAATTTTGAAGAGCTTGCACAAAAGTTTACTCACATAATGATATTTTGTATGGGTACTATTTCTTTTTAGAAATATTAGAATTCCATAAAATTGCACATAGAGTTATAAACGCTGAACGCTCTTTGTAATCCGTTTTGAATAATTGGGAAGCGGAAAATATTTTGGCATGCTGCTCTGATCCTCATTTTTGGATATCAGCAGCCCCCTTATCTATATTTTCTGTTTGCGCTTATTTCCTTTATGAAGCTGAAATGAACTTTTTTAAATAAGTTGCTGGTGTTTTGCTTCTGTTTTCTGACTCTTTCTTTTACACCTAAAGATATCCCATTTTTGTGACTACGGAAATCCACAGAAATTATCTTTTTATTAGAAAATAATACACCGTTATGTTTTACAGCATTTGAAAGCTGTTCCGAGTTTATTCAGTTCAGTTTCGGCTGCGTTACAACAGTCAACCTTAACATACACGTTCATAGAATCGGAAATAAAAGTACGATGTGCATGTGGTTATTACATTACTAGTTACAGAATTTAACGAAGATGGAAAATGAAGAATTTATGCAACATTTCACTTCCTGCAACCTATCCTACCAAGGCTGTCGTCAGCAGTACATTGAGTCTTATCGTTTTGTTAACTTACATGAGGTTATATCACTTAGGAGTTATCACTAGATTGTGAGTTACATTTTTCGTCAACAACAAAACCAGTGATTCAGCATCGATATTTTAGTTGAACATTCATCTTGTAGTCAATAAACTTTTTCCTGTCCTATGAGACATGCTAACTAGACAATGAAAGTGGAATAATGATATGACTCCTTTATTACAGGTAGTAAACAGTTTCTTTCTTATTAAGTAGTACTTTGGGCTACCTTATTTTAACTCGGGATATATTGCATCGAATTTCTCTTTTCTACATTATTTTAATCATCCAGTTATGTCATCTAATTCTATGACGTACTCTCGCGCATTTTTAAAATCTTTATGACCTATCGCTCTGCAAGTCGATAACCAAATTAAGGAAAAACACCATGGTGAATGACAACAGGCTCACAAGCATATGAATATTCTGGAAATTATAGAACCTACTTATCAATTTTTCAACAATAAATAATCTCTGACCAAAAGTTTAACTAACAATATAAAATTTTCCTTGTTATTAATATTCTTTTCATAAATTGTTATATCAACACTATTCGAAATGTGGTAAAGTAGTATATATACATACATAAATCTTTTTTGCAATATTTCATGCTGAAAATTCCTGACTGTACCTAAACATTGTTCGAAATAAAGTGATAATTATTATTATTATTATCATTACTATTGTTATTATCCCATTATCACTGACGTTCATTTTAATAACTGAGTTGTTTGTTTACAACTTATAAGTGGGTTTAAGTAAGCGAGCATACTAACAAACTTTTTTTCTATTTAGTTTACGGTATCACAACTTGAATTCTGAATACATTTTTGAACGATTGCGCCAAACAAAACAACGGTATCAATTGTCTGTACTACTTGTTTTAGTGGATGTAGTAAGTTTATGAATATTGAATTATATGTCAGACCTCAAATCAAAACTATTTAAAGATAACTTTTCTGGAAGTAAATCTTTACTGTCCACCATATCAGGAAGGCAACTCAGAGACTCTACGAAGAATTCTCAATGAGGATGGTATTAGTATGGCATTCAAATCTAAAAACTAACTCAGAAACAAGCTTTGTTGATTAAAAGGTCCTGTTGATTCTGTTCGGGAAAATATTTTGTTTTCCAATTTCCTTCCAATGATTGCAAGATTAAATATATATTTCAAAGTAGTCGACCAGGTTCAGCTATGTTATCTGAGCACAAAAACTTATTTAAATCAGGATTAGTAGGTACCCTATAAGATAACGGACCTAAAGAAAAGCTCGTCTATGTGGAGTATGCATACGATTATACACAACCACACAGTAGGCTGGGATAAAGCGACAATATAGAAAATTAAATTATTTCATTGGATGGAGAGATTGATAACCGAATCTTCGTTTGTCATATCAACTCCAAACACATTCGATAGGAATGATTGAGTATCGATTCTAGATATGTGGAAAATTCCACTACCTTTATCACAAAGGAGGGGGGCAAATTAGGATTATATAAACCATGTATCAAATTTGTAAAGTTACTTGGTATGAATCTGGACAATAAATGTTGTCCGAAACGTTATCCAATGAATAATACTATTTCACAGTATGGCGTATTTAATAAACAATATAAAATGGAATTGAAATCTACTACCGTGCCCAAGGTTTACTCCTATATCAATCTATCTAAAAGTTATCGGAAAGCTAAATAGTTAAGCAAGATTTGATGAAACTGTTGTTAATTTTAGATGAAATGATAATAAAAGCAAATAAAACGGTCAATTAAACTATAAATACAGTTATAGAAAAGCTGCTAAGTGAACCACAAACTCTGCTTAAATAGATTTGGCTTTAGCTGACAGAATACTGTTGCCCCTGCTAAATGCAGTCGTTTACTATGAATGCATCTACTAATGATAGAGAATTCCGTTTCTTGTTTTCATATATGATTTCCATCGATGACATCGCTTCATGTGGCAATTCTTGATTGTCTTGGACATTGGATGAAGAGCATCGATTTTTTCAAAATGTATGGTACTGAAAATCCAAGTAGATAGATAGGTGCTACTGGAGGTAACTAGAATAAGTCTCCTTTTCAAATATCATTCCCTAGCGTGTTTGTCTTAATATAATTGACTACAAATTCCGCAGTAGAATAACTTAAGCAGATGCATGCCTCACTGTAATTATTTTGTAAACTTGAATCACTTTTCAAGAGGAGTTTGGTCAATATTTTCATTTTCTTCCTTTCATCTTTGGATTTTAATACTTGTTCATCCATCATCTTTTGGCCATTGAAATTTCTATCATATTGTCCGGTTCATTTTCAGTCAGCATCTGGTAGATATTCACTTATGCAATGATTGGATGAAGGTCACAAAACACTGTTTCCCATGACTTAAAAAGACCATGAACGGAAAATTTCCATAGCAAGTAATAAAAAGAAGTACGGTGAAGAAAACGTTCTTTTCGACGATTTCATTTACGAAAGCTTTTCAATCGCATTTAAAATCATTGGAAAGAAATATGACTGTACAGCTTAAAATCATCGCGAACAAAATTTTATTCGCTGTTACATCTCTGTTTTATTACTTTAAGGAGTAGTTAATACGTAATAGGTAATAAAAAATAATTACAGTCTGGAGACCTGTCGGAATTTTTTTATTTCAAGGTCCAGTGCTCACTAGTGAAGCTCTTCGAGATGACATTTCCCGAAAAAACCGTGATCTATGGGGTCAATCAATACGGAAAGGAAGTAGATACCTACTGATGATCTTGGATGGTAGTCGCGCTGTATTGCGAATTGAGCTCCGACCCAATGGCTGGATGGCTAAGGCGTTCGCAGTGAGATCTAAAGGTCCTGGGTTATTTACCCGGTGGGGTTGTGATACTTACCATTAAGGAGTCCCGTACGAAACAACTGTCAAGTACCTTCGTGTTTTCAGTAGTTCTCTTACTAATGTCAGTCCGGGATAAATACCATTTAGAAATTATGAATAACAGGGGAACTCAACGTGTCATGTGTTTGCATCCTAAGCTATGAGCCACACCTGTTGTTTGATGACGTATGATACGCTTTGGTCGCCCATGCTGAACAAAGCGTAGGGGAGTTCGATTCCATCAATTACTGTGTTTATTTTGATAGTCAACACTAAGTGTTTTGTTTTATCAGCGGGATGAATTAATGACTAAAAAAAATGTGAATTTCATTGTGCTTTTAACAGTCATAAAATATCTGAAGCAGTTAGAAGCTTTGTCGCCTATATTGAGTCTTCATTGTCCCATAACTTTCATACAGAGCATTTTAAGTGATTCTTCATGGTCTATGGTAGATCAAAGCCAATATTTTGTCCCGTTTTAACTGAGTCGGACTACTGTTTACAACAAATAAATAAACCTACTTCCAGAAGTGATCTTATCTTTGATTTATGAAAAGGTCGACTCAGATATATTGAATTATTGAAAGAGAATATTGTGTGACTGGAAAAGTTGGAATAAAAACGGAATCACTACTCACTTCGAAGCTAGATTCTATAACTAGCCCTTGATGTCTTACCTACTAAGTTATGAGCAGGGTTGCCCGATTTCCCCATTCCTCTTTAAGTTTACCATCAGTGACATTCTTAAGACAACTCTGAAAGGATTACATGATGATGGTGTAGATCTACTACCCGGACAACGGCTCTTCGACCTTGAATATGCGGACGATATCGTCTTACTGTGTGATAGCACACAGGCTGCTCAAATGGCGCTTCATCATTTGGCGATTAGTATCTGTAAGTATGGTACGTGCTTTGCACCATTAGAGTGAAAAGTACTCTTGCAAGACTGGTAGGAGCCTGTGCTTACCCTTGCTGGTTAGCCATTGGAAGTAGGCGAAAAGTTTGTGTGTCTATATAGTTGTGTGAGTGCTGGTGGGGAGTGTGGTGAGATTTCCGACCGCATATCGAAAGCCAGAGAGGCATACGTTAATCTGGGTCACCTTTGGCGGCGTCACAATGTTAGTCTGACCGTAAAAAGTCGGGTTTACAACTCTTCGGTGCAAGCAGTTCTTCTGTACGCCTGTGATACCTGGCCCCTCCTAACTGAGGATATGCGACGACTCTGTGTGTTCGACCATCATTGTCTCTACAGGATCGTTTGTTTCCAGTGGCAACACCATGTAAGTAATCCTGAAGTACGAAGCGTGTGTTTGGGCATGATAGAGATCGCCATTCAACAAGTGAAGTCATACGACAGCACGGCTTCGGTGGCTTGCACATGTGTTACGCATATCGTCCCAACAGTTAGTTTCTACACTGTTCATTGTTCGGTAACCCTGGGATTGAATGGAAGAAGCGGAGGGGTGGTCAGTGTATGACGTGGCACCGTGAGATGAAGGATAGTTATATTGGATTGGCATTTATTGGTGCATCACGATTCTCTGGGTGGGATCGAAGAGATCTGCAACTCAGTGACTTGGGACGTTATCAGATATGGCTCAGAATCGAAACCAATGGCGGTCATGTTGTAGCTTCCCCTTATCTTCTGCTGCTAAAAAGTAATGAAGGTTTTGTTTTGAATGTATCTTACTGGACTGCCCTTCTAATCATTATATTTCTATTTTTTTACTTTTTATCCACTTCCCTTCGCCCTGTCTTCAAAATGGTGTTATATTATTTTGTGTGGCGCATTTCTTCTTGCCCCTTCTGTATCACGTTTGTGTTTTAATAAGTAAATAATAAATATGAGGAACTACAACTGACTAATTCTCTATTTCCTCCAAAGAAAGGAGCACTGTCTGACTGTTATATAAATGCTGATCAGATATTTCTCTTTAGTAGTTGTCTAACCATATCTTCCTTCACATTCTAATCACGATCAAGGTGAAGTAAGCGAATGATTAGGTGTTTCTTTGACAATTAGTTCCCGGAAGTTAGTTTCTATTCAGATCCTGATATTATTTTGAGATAATAATTGGGATTGAATGAAAGCATATGCTATGTTAACAGTTCAGTGCTCCACCAGATTAAGTAGTTATATTCACACAATGTGTAGTATAAGAGTTTTTTTGCCTAACAAGTCTTTTTTGAATAGTTTAATCATTACCATTTAAATTATACTTCTTTTGAAGTAAAAAGTACTCTTTTTGTTGTAGCCAGACCCGTATTACCCTCTTAAAGAATTGTGTAAAATTTGCTGGACTGAAAGGTTGACACTGATGTTAGCTTGGTCGTAAGTTGATGCTCTTTATTTTTTCATACTTCTCAATCTTTCTCAAGCTGTTTGCATAAAGTTTTAATCCTGTCATGTATGCAATTTGCTAGGATCTGCTACTTTCTGTGTAAAATTATTTTACCGCAAGTAAGACAAATTTGTAAAACTAAAGACTAGTGAGTGGTTATCGTATTACACTCTGAAGCTTCTCAAACGTATGCATTTACAATAATGAGTCCATGTGGTGACCGGTTTGGTCGGTAAATAAATAAGCTTATTCCAGACGCTAGCATTTTCAACACCAACTGGTTTGTTAATACCATCGCGAATCATTCATTTGACCTTATAAATTGTAAACTCCTACCCAAATAGGATATCACTATTTGATAAGCTGTTTTGAAAATGACTCTCGAGTGAATGCGTTGTTAAGTTTCGATAAGCATGATCCTAGTTTGAATCAACAGTTAATACTATTTGAATTGTGTGAATAGTGACCGATTGTTTCGTTTTCTTTTTGGTTGTCTAAGCATTAGTATACTGCTTAAAGCAATAGAATGAAGTGACTTTCGAAGTCAGTCGATATTACAGTGGTGTACGTCAAAAAGGAGTAAAATAATCCACTTATTTTTTCATATCATCACAGAATGGTTTACTCACCAAATCTTTAGCCTAGGTTGTAGCCTAAAAATGTGTATTAATCATGATCTAACAATAGGACTACAAACAAAAAATTTGAATTGTGTTGATAATGACTTCCAATGACTTGGACTAGAAATGCTACACTTATCATTAGCCTCATAATATTTCCATGTAGTTTTCGTGTCAGATCGAAATCAGTTAGAAGTTTAAGCAGATCAAGTTGGTATCTTGTAGAGGTGTGCACCACTTCAAGTTCCCATACACAAAGAACAAATCAAATTTAGTTTGGAGTTTGTTCAGATTTATTAATTTCATGGTGGTATTGATCACGGATTGATATCAGTCAGAGAAACATTGAAAATCAAAAAGAACTGATCAGCTGTTTCTTTCTAGTATTAGACTCCCTAGCAGTGCTCATCTATGACTCTGACAAGGGTCCAACCCATCATTTCCAGGTTTCGCGATGGACACGTTTCTATTGAGCCATTGGACCTAGCGGCCCACATAGGCTTACTTCTCTCAGCTATATGGCACTACCTTTATTTAGTGCCATCCTCGCGTTCTACTTGGTTCACCCCATAGGTCACGACTTCTCATTAGAAAGTGAGGAGGTCTGCTATATAACTCTAATTTTGCATACCTTTACCTTCTGTTTTGCCGACTTACGTAGATGTTTTCAGAGCGTTACTAGTTTTTCTTCTTTCTCCCCTTAAGGCTGAACTCTCATTGGTTTTTAACTATTTTAACCTAAATGTGGATTTGGTGCCATCAAGGCCATTTAGAAGTGTATTTATTCAGCATCGTTGTCAACTGTATCGACTGTTGTTAAGACAGTAAAAGGCTGTCTGTCAACGGTATGTCTTCAGTTCGCGTGTCAGGGGTATTATGTCGTGGTGTTTGACGTTCTGATTTGCGTTAGGGTTGATTCGTATCCGCGTTGGGCTCGTGTCGTTCGTAGACTGTCAGTCTCGTATCGCTCGTAGATTGTTAGATCGTACTACTGGTCATAGCAAAATCTCACCTCGAATCAAGTCACTAATGGGCACTAGACAGCAATTCAGTTTTAACGTCTTCGCTTATCAGTGACTTGATTCGAGATGACATTTTCCGCAGTTCTAATGAGAAGTTGTGACCTATGGTGCCATCTAAATTGGACGTGAGCGCAGATACTCAGCAACAGTTCTCAACGAAGCTAGTGACATATCGAGAACTAGAAGAAGTAGACGAATGTGGAACCTTGGGTCCCTGACCCAAAAGTTAAAATGGTAACATACCTAAGGCGAAAGCTGAAGGTCGTGGGTTGGACCCCTGCTGGGATCGTGGGTGATTCTCACACTAGTACGAAACAGCTGATCAGTGCTTTCAGGTTTTCAATGGTTCCCAAATGATTTCAGTCCGTGACGAATACTACCTTGAAATAAATCAAATTTTTATAGATGACATACAAGTAGGCGAAATATAGAAAACTTAATAAATCTACGAAGGTTAATGAAAATATTTCAAACTTTGGAGATGAGAAAGAGTGCAAAACCTGTGCATTGGTGATAGATTCTGACCGATGTCACTGAAAGTATCCAACCGCTGATTTCTAAGATCTTGAACATAATAATCATGAAGCAAAAACTCACATACACACCAAAACGATATCTAGAGGCCTCATAGATCCGTACTACATCTTGATCTAGTTATCATTAACCTCGCGACCTACTGGTACTGAATTTGTCTTTCTATGTTGAAGATAGCAAAAGATGTGTAGCTTAGAATGAGTATGATGGTGACTCGATATTATGTGAACATTGACATTTTGTCTTGGACGTGTGATTACCAGGTTTTGTGACATCCTCAGCACTAGCTTCATGGTTAGTGAGACTATAGCAATAAACGATTTACACGCAGAGAAGACAAATGGAACGATAGACAGGACACTTCGAGAAACAGTTCAACTGGCATACAACTGCTATTCCTCCTGTCGATATTCAACCGAATCTCAAACTGGACACTGAGAGAGACCCAACAACTCCCGCTGACGTTGAGAAGTCTGCAAGTAACCTGAAACAAGGAAGGATAGTGGGAACACGTGGACCAGTACTGGAAGACTACTGGTCGGGTTAACTGAAATATTACCTAGCACACAGGAATCAGATATGATGCCCTCTGACTAACCTGAATCATATATTGTTACAGTCTTCTAGAAGGGAGAGGAATCCTTTTGTGATAGCCAGAGGGTAATCAATCTGATGAACACAGTATCCAAAACCCCTAGGTTCTATAATCACTAGATAGACAACTGAGTGAAGCTCACGAGCAGCATACTCAGATAGAGAAATCAAGTTGGAACCTTGTATAGGATTGTATCAGACCACAATGACACACTTCACAACAGCATGCAAGGAAAGAGTGACAATAAATTAGAGAAGGGTGTACTGGAGGAGAGAGAATTTTGAAATTTTGTAGGCTAATTACAATATGCAAACATCGAAAGAGAGTGAATGCATCTACCCCATTGTCAGCAACTTTTAGCCACATCATCAAGAATCCCCCAACATTGAATTCTATCATCTCACAGACTGCAGTCGAGCAGTGTACACACCCCTACACGGCTCAGGTCACCGGCCTAGGATTCCATGGGTTGGTGCCACATTTAAGTCTGTTCAGCGTTAGCCTTCTCCCAACAAAGTGCTATTTCCGTTAGTATCACAAGTCAGAGTACGCAGTGACTCGGTACATGCATAACACATGTTCACGATGACTCAATCGGTGAAAGTTCACAGCCTCATCGACTGACCTGTCTTTCTTCGTCTAGTACGCTATACCTAAGCTGAACATTCTTCACAGGGTTATTCCACCACTGTACGTGAACAACTCTACATAGGCATCCGAGGTTGAAAATCTAGCTGGAGAATGTCAAGCAATATGGCAGACCTGGTTGTGAATGTATTGACTAGATGTTCACCCCAATACTAACTAGTCTCTGAATTACAGTGTACTTATTAGTGACAATAGTAGGTGATTTCCTGACCTGGTGATGCCGTTCAGAGTCATCAATCGGAGTCTTTCAGTAGTATCTCTCACTGAAAGGTGTAGAGTGAGTATACTACTCTGTTGAAAGCTGTGTACTCGAACACCCGTGAGCGAGTAAGAGCCTATAATGAGTTATTAGTTCACTTCAGTTGATTTGAGTTGAATGATGTTCATCAATGATGTCCACTCACTGCATTCTTATTTAATTTTGAGTAGATGCGCTTATGGAGGTCTTCCTCTCGTTTGTTTCTGCGAAGATTAGCCTTGTCTCAGTAAGCATCTTAGTGCATCTAAAGTAGGCAGATACTCATTCCGGTTAGTTAGCTGACGGCGTTGACGAGATACGCAGTCCACTGGACACCTATACAGGTAATTTGAGAATGCTTAGGAAGCGTTTCCCGTCGGCCATATGCAAGTCGTTGCTGCAGTACTGGTGTGCGTTGTGCCGAATAAATTATGGCACGGATATGAAAAGTTCTCATGGATTTTGCTAACTCTCACCATTTTTGTTACCGCCATGATATTCGGTTACTTACTTTGTAATAGTCGAGTGTACTTTGCTGCACTTCACTCTCTTACACTGTATGTTTGTTGAGCATGTGATTTAATGTAAGAGGACAGCAGATGGCTTCAGGCGTTTGACCGCCATTGTCTTCGTTGCATAGGCCGTGTGTCGTGGTACCACCACATCAATGATGTGAAGTTTAGCGAAACAAATTATTTAGACGACGAATGTCAGTTGATGAAGTTGTGAACTTACATGTACTAATTCGGCCTAGACATGTATCACACTTGCCTAGTCACTGTCTACGTCGTCGCACAATGTTAGCTGGAGTAGGTTCTGACTTATTAGTTAAAGATGGCCATAATTAGTCACGACATCTGTTCATGATATTCTTGATTGTTGTTCTGATCAGTTTAGGAGAATATTGACTTATCGTCGGTGTCCGCATTACAGAAGAAACTGGTGCCTAGAGATTATAGACGATTTGACTCAGAATTGATCGCAGTAATCGAGATATATCCACATATTATGTTTGTCTTAGTTGTCATACCAAGTTTTCGCGTTGTTTTATTCCTTCCTGTTCTTTCTTCGCAATTGTCTACCACTTTTAACTACTTTCTTTCTGCTTTCTCTGTTTTACTTTGGTGCATTCTCCCTTGATGTTCTGATATGAATTGAAGGAGCTTCGCCAGTTACTCAGCGACACTAGGTTGAATTTACATTTTAACTGGTTGACAATTCCATTCGTCAGAATAGGCCTCCTCAGTGCCCATTCCTGTGTATAAGAAAGGAGACGCCTTGTTACGAAGACTACAGCTTCATGTGTTTGACTTACATCGTGACGACGATTCTAGAGTTCAAAACCCCCTGACGTCTAATTAAAGCTGGGGACAACGAACATGAGTAAAATACACACGTTTCACATCGGCATCACAGACTGCATCCATCATATTTTCACCCTCCGACACGTTCTGCAACCCAGTAATAACTAATAGCAAGTGGCCGACGCCTACACTATTTCTTGAACTTCTGACATCCCACTCCGTTAATCGTGAGGTGTTGTAGCAATGTCTGACTGTAAAAGGGGTACCCAGGAAGCATTTAACGCCTATCAACGCTCTCTACTGCGAATGATGCAACTGTGTAAGGGCTTACAGAGAGCTGTCATGTGAAGTGACGACAAATAGTGGCATCCACCAAGCATATCGACTGTCGTCGTTCCTATTTAACTTCATCATCAGATGTAATAATGGACATATATTTAGGTATGCCTGACTTCACTGGGATTGATCTACTCCTTAGAGGTCGTCTGATTGACTTGAAGTATACAGACAATATTCCCTGATGTATGAAGACGTTGGTGAAGTGCTGGATCTTGTGAACGCGTTGAGCAGAAATCCGAGTGTTTGGCATGCCTTTTGCACTTGTCAAATGTAACATGATCCTCGAGGACTGGTCTGCAACCACTTCTAGTTTAATGATAGGTAGTGAAGTTGTGTAGTCGATCGACCACTTTACCTACTTGGAGAGTTTCATCCGCCCAAATGGGGTGGTTTCTGACGAAATCTCAGCTCGGATACAGAGCACCCTCATGGCATTTGCCAAATTGGGTCTTACCTGGAGAGATATTTGACCGTTTATTGCAGGACAAGTATACAGCTCGTGTTTGGTGGAATCACCATCTTAGCAATGTCGAGGTCAGGAGACGAGTACTGGGCAGGGAAAGAAAGTTGGTTGATGAGTCTGCGAACGCTTACTTACTGGGGTGAATTGGATGTGTTGCGTATACTTATCCGCTGCCTACTTCGATGCTTAGGATTAGGAGATGTTGGATGAGGTTGGAAGTGGCCTCAGGGTTTCCAGATCAAGACGTGGCAATATTCCACGAAGTCTCTGATTGTCGGTCTTAACCGTGCATGGAGGTATAGACTATCTGGTTAACATCCTTATGACGATAGAAACCAATGGTTGAAGACACTGTAAAAAAAAAGCTGAAAATCGGTCGCAGGGGCACGTTTGTGTTTATTTCTTCACATCCCCTAAAGCTTAAATATTTTCAGTTACCTTCATTTTTAAATTCCCTCTCCTCCCGTGCATCTCTATGGACTATGATATCCGCCTTTTTCTGCATAGTTTTTCTTTGTATGCTACTTTCAGGTGTGTCAATTTGAACCAGTCCACTTGTGTGCGAGGTTCTACGTGTATTTTATATGATTGTCTTTCTGAAAAACTATTGCGATTCTAGTTATCTCTTACTTTGATGGGATTGACTCACTCTTCAGATATCAACTAGCTTTATCTTTGTCTGTAGACGATATCGTTCTGTTTAACAAAGAGGCTGATAAAGTGGTCTTCTTAACACTTTCAGCAGAGAACTGAGTATGTTCGGTCTACGTTTTTTCACATGTTAGATGAAGCTTTTGATCTTGTCTGAAACTTCTACCAGTTTAAGGTTAGGAAGTCGAGCGGTAATGTGCGTTAACCATTTCAGTTACTTAGGATGTTGTATCGAGTTATTCTTGCCGAAATCTCAGGTGGAATACAAATAGCCTGTTTGAGATTTTCCGAATTCCATCATCTCTGGGGCTGACGAGGCATCCGACTACATGTCAAGAGATGAATATACTGCGCTTCTCTCCACTCTACCATATTATACGGCTGTGAAACATGGCTATTGAAAATCGATTTTACATGAGGAGTTAACTGGTTTTTGACCACGAGTATCTTCCGGGCATTGTTTCTGTATGGTGAAATCGTCTTGTGACTGATGTCCAGGTTTAGGGGGAGTACTAGACAATACTGTTTTAACGTGGGCATGCTTACATGTTCCACAGACTACTTTTTTTTACCTGAGACGTTTATAAACATATTTTGAAAGAATCGTATTGCTCGGAAATGGCGATCAGTACTTCAATATCTTATCATCACAATGTTTCCTTTGTTTAGTCATTATGATCTACAATCAGTAAAGCTTGAAGGTTTGTATGGACTTATTGATTTCATGTTGGTATTCATCACGGACAGACATCAGTTGGAGAAGTATCGAAAACTTGGGAACACCGAACAGCTGTTTCGTCGCGTGAGCAATGTTGATGTCATGAGAAATGTACCAGGCACGACACTCATATCAGTCGATGAGGTTGTGAGCCTTCATCGACTGACATGATTTGGATATGTATTGTGCATACCGAGCCACCGTCTACTTCGAGGTGACATGCTAGGGAAGTTGAATTAGGTTGAGAGAGGGCTCAGGGTGGCCAGACCAAGACATCATATACTTACTGTGAAGTGTGGCAACTTGAACCGGTGCATTTGTGTGCGAGATTCTACGTTGGCTTTGTTCGTCTCTCCGACTGTCTTACTTTAGGAGTGTGGTTTTCCGGTTTTGGGGTTTAGATACTATTGGAAAAGAAGCATACAGTAAGCTTGAATTTCTGTTTTTTGATCATTATCACCAAATTTTTTATTCTCTCACACAACTTGGTTGGAGTGTAAATCACCCTTTTTCGATCCACTTTTTCCTTGGTATACTACTGTGAAGTTAGCCAACTTGAAGCGATGCACTTGCTTGCGAAGTTCCACATAGAGTTTTTGTATGTCATTATGATAGTCTGCAACAATGAGCATCTATCATCCCGTTACAGATAAACCGTTTTCGAAAGTTCAACTTTGAAGTCGAATTTTTGATTTTGATTATCAGGTTTAATGCTTAACTAATCCAATTATTACAGCCAAAGACGGAACAAAACCCTGTTGTTTTAGATTTTCCGGTCTTCAGATTGCTTTTCTCTCTGTTGTTATTTCAGCTAGTAAGCTTTTTGTAGTATACATCGCCGCCAATGCAATTTCATTTAAATACAGGCAGCATCATCTAATATAGTAGCTTGAGTCCGAAAATATTCCCGTCTTGCAATGTTTATGAAGTTAGGGAGAATCAATGATTCCAGAAATACGATTTATCCGGTGTTCATGTGATATGTATGATATGATCTGTTGGTTTCTTAAAAGTGGTAAATTGATTGTCGTTCGTTTTCGAATCCTAAATTTTATAGGTTTAAATTTTTGTTTGAAAATCCATTCTGATTTATCATTTTTGGCGCATAGTGACTTCAATAAAAAGGCCAGACATCTCAGGGGTATTAGTGAGATTACAAATGTGTCAAATGTTAGAATGGTTAACCCCACAGAATATAAATTTCGCAAATTGAATAAGGTGTAGTATTTCTTTCAGAAAATATGTAGTTCTCACTCAGTTAACGCTTTTATATCTTTGTTTATTCTCTGGCAAAAGAAGAAATTATGAGGACCATCAATAATTCTGTTAATAGCGGCTTGGTGGTTTTGAATTATAAAGACAAACTGTTTTCAATTTTGAAATTATTTATCGAAATTGAAAAGAATCAAGTTACTGTGTTTAAACGTAAGAAAGTCATTAAAAGCTGCTTGATTTCCCTTTTCGTTTTTATTTTATGTATCACACAGTGGTACTACACTTGGTCACCCAGACGGAGAAACAGAGCAGGATTTTAACCTAGGTATCACTAATTGAAAGTTAGTTTCTGAAGCCAGTGAGCCACATACCGATACAGTCATGTGATTACCTGGATGTGATCGTGACGGTAAATTGTGTTCATTTCTTTTCTTGATAAATTTTTCAGAGCAAGAACAGCGGTTTTAATAGAATAGCATGGATTTCTGAAATAAAATGGATCCATGCTCAGGCTGTTGTTCTCGCTATGTTTAGACTTGAATACGTTGCACTCAGTGCATCCAGTCGATAATAGTGTTTCACTATGTGACATATATAAGTAAGAGAAAGAAAATGGAAATAAACTATCACAGTGCCTAAATTCTATTTTTACATTACAAACTGATTACTTATCAAGTCACAGCACTACAATATGATATTAAAGCTCTGTCGACGACGCAGCTCTAACTTTCCTTTCGTTACTATGTACAAGTTTTAAGTGTGTTACTTGCAGATATCTTGCTGGTGAGTGTTTTTTCATCACTTCACATGTTAACATGAGGTCTACATCTGAAACTTTGTAACATATATTAACTTCACTGGACAGAAACAGTCGTAGTTTTCGGTTTCAGTTTTAGAAAACACCTGAAAACTGTTCGTAGTTAAACGATGCCACTAAATTGTTGGTAAAATATATCTTGTTACAGGTTAATTAGCATGGTCATTTTAACTGGATTTTAATTTATTGCTTGTAGTAGAATGTTGATTTTTACCTTTTTTATGTCAGACATCAAGTTGCACGTTCGGATGATTACTAGGTATCGTTAGTTTACGCATATTCAGTGTAGATAACAGCCTAGTACTCAGACCTACGAGTAGCGATTTAGTTTGCTCTAGTAAATAAGCACCTTATTTTGCTCAGTATACTACCTCATACTACAATGCACGTTTTTCTTTACATATATCCCTAACATTTTTTTTGAAACTCATCATTTTGTTATTTTATAGTATAGACGAAGCAGCTAGGTATTTAGAAGCTTATAAAGCTTTGGAAATAAACCTCCTGATAGTTTAATGGCAGAGCCAAGTGCACACACGGATTATGCTGCACAAGTAACAGACTTTCTAACATCTGTTCGTCGTGTTACAAAAGCAGATGCTGTATCTGCTATGGGAAAATTTGATGTAAGTCAATGGGTATTTTCTGTATTAAAAACAATATTGTTTAACATGCTTGTAGCATCAATAAACAATATCCTATATTACAATGTATTGAAACCATGATTTGTGTCTGGATGAAATTTGAGATCCTGATGCCTAAGTTAACTTACCATTAGCCTAATGAATTCTTGAACTGGATATTTTAGCTCACGACGTGATCTGATTAATTAACTGTGATTGGCCGGTGGTTATTCCATTACTCTAATTATGTGAAATCAAAAAACAGAAATTCAAGCTTACTGTATGCTTCTTTTCCAATAGTATCTAAACCCCAAAACCGGAAAACCACACTCCTAAAGTAAGACAGTCGGAGAGACGAACAAAGCCAACGTAGAATCTCGCACACAAATGCACCGGTTCAAGTTGCCACACTTCACAGTAAGTATATGATGTCTTGGTCTGGCCACCCTGAGCCCTCTCTCAACCTAATTCAACTTCCCTAGCATGTCACCTCGAAGTAGACGGTGGCTCGGTATGCACAATACATATCCAAATCATGTCAGTCGATGAAGGCTCACAACCTCATCGACTGATATGAGTGTCGTGCCTGGTACATTTCTCATGACATCAACATTGCTCACGCGACGAAACAGCTGTTCGGTGTTCCCAAGTTTTCGATACTTCTCCAACTGATGTCTGTCCGTGATGAATACCAACATGAAATCAATAAGTCCATACAAACCTTCAAGCTTTACTGATTGTAGATCATAATGACTAAACAAAGGAAACATTGTGATGATAAGATATTGAAGTACTGATCGCCATTTCCGAGCAATACGATTCTTTCAAAATATGTTTATAAACGTCTCAGGTAAAAAAAAGTAGTCTGTGGAACATGTAAGCATGCCCACGTTAAAACAGTATTGTCTAGTACTCCCCCTAAACCTGGACATCAGTCACAAGACGATTTCACCATACAGAAACAATGCCCGGAAGATACTCGTGGTCAAAACCAGTTAACTCCTCATGTAAAATCGATTTTCAATAGCCATGTTTCACAGCCGTATAATATGGTAGAGTGGAGAGAAGCGCAGTATATTCATCTCTTGACATGTAGTCGGATGCCTCGTCAGCCCCAGAGATGATGGAATTCGGAAAATCTCAAACAGGCTATTTGTATTCCACCTGAGATTTCGGCAAGAATAACTCGATACAACATCCTAAGTAACTGAAATGGTTAACGCACATTACCGCTCGACTTCCTAACCTTAAACTGGTAGAAGTTTCAGACAAGATCAAAAGCTTCATCTAACATGTGAAAAAACGTAGACCGAACATACTCAGTTCTCTGCTGAAAGTGTTAAGAAGACCACTTTATCAGCCTCTTTGTTAAACAGAACGATATCGTCTACAGACAAAGATAAAGCTAGTTGATATCTGAAGAGTGAGTCAATCCCATCAAAGTAAGAGATAACTAGAATCGCAATAGTTTTTCAGAAAGACAATCATATAAAATACACGTAGAACCTCGCACACAAGTGGACTGGTTCAAATTGACACACCTGAAAGTAGCATACAAAGAAAAACTATGCAGAAAAAGGCGGATATCATAGTCCATAGAGATGCACGGGAGGAGAGGGAATTTAAAAATGAAGGTAACTGAAAATATTTAAGCTTTAGGGGATGTGAAGAAATAAACACAAACGTGCCCCTGCGACCGATTTTCAGCTTTTTTTTTTACAGTGTCTTCAACCATTGGTTTCTATCGTCATAAGGATGTTAACCAGATAGTCTATACCTCCATGCACGGTTAAGACCGACAATCAGAGACTTCGTGGAATATTGCCACGTCTTGATCTGGAAACCCTGAGGCCACTTCCAACCTCATCCAACATCTCCTAATCCTAAGCATCGAAGTAGGCAGCGGATAAGTATACGCAACACATCCAATTCACCCCAGTAAGTAAGCGTTCGCAGACTCATCAACCAACTTTCTTTCCCTGCCCAGTACTCGTCTCCTGACCTCGACATTGCTAAGATGGTGATTCCACCAAACACGAGCTGTATACTTGTCCTGCAATAAACGGTCAAATATCTCTCCAGGTAAGACCCAATTTGGCAAATGCCATGAGGGTGCTCTGTATCCGAGCTGAGATTTCGTCAGAAACCACCCCATTTGGGCGGATGAAACTCTCCAAGTAGGTAAAGTGGTCGATCGACTACACAACTTCACTACCTATCATTAAACTAGAAGTGGTTGCAGACCAGTCCTCGAGGATCATGTTACATTTGACAAGTGCAAAAGGCATGCCAAACACTCGGATTTCTGCTCAACGCGTTCACAAGATCCAGCACTTCACCAACGTCTTCATACATCAGGGAATATTGTCTGTATACTTCAAGTCAATCAGACGACCTCTAAGGAGTAGATCAATCCCAGTGAAGTCAGGCATACCTAAATATATGTCCATTATTACATCTGATGATGAAGTTAAATAGGAACGACGACAGTCGATATGCTTGGTGGATGCCACTATTTGTCGTCACTTCACATGACAGCTCTCTGTAAGCCCTTACACAGTTGCATCATTCGCAGTAGAGAGCGTTGATAGGCGTTAAATGCTTCCTGGGTACCCCTTTTACAGTCAGACATTGCTACAACACCTCACGATTTACAATGTCGACTGTCTTTCGAAGTACGATGGAGATGGCATGTGTGGATTTTCTGTTCGCGCCTTATATTCGCTGCCATTTTAGAGTTCGTAGATGTGATGGATGCACTGTCATGCTGGACTGAAAGCCACGTGATTTTTGGAGTTTTCGTTTTTGCGTCTCCACTTTGGCGTTGGATAAGAGTTAACCCTCGTATCTTTGACACAATATCAGTTCAGTTCGCTTTCAGTTCCTATTATTGTCGAAGGATGACTTATAGACTGAGATAACCATTGAAGATGACGAGTGTAATGGCACTACCTTTGATTCCTGTACACTACTAGTTCTTCCTTCATGTTAATTAGCAATTTCCTGCCTCCATCCTTGAAAACTTCGGATGGCAGACTATCATATCCTGATGCTTTACACCGTTTCACGTTCGATACAGCCTTCTACACTTAAGGAGATTTGGAGGACCGATATATGCGTCCAACTGAGGCTCAGACTTGATGTTGAGAAACTGAAGCATTGCTGTGTGTCAGTGTGCTTCAGAGTGTTCTGACCATCGTTCTAGCTGGCCGTTTAGGAGGTTATGAGGGTTCCATGCTTTTCGTTGCTGGTTTCACTAACCATTGTTTTATTCTTGCCGGTATCCCTAATAAGCCTAAACAGTAGCTGTGTTTGGTCGAATGCTCTTTTCATCTGTCTGTCTTTAGCCACTTACTACGACTTGCAATCGTTCCTAAGACTTTTGATCAACTTACATTTCAGTTGTGCATGCTCTTACTTGTAGTCAGAGCCAGCCGGAATCATTCTTCTCATATCAGTCTATTCGGATGACGTCGCAAACGTCCAATCGTTAAGCAACGTTTGAATGCAAATAACCAACTTTCTGTACCGCCGTTTCTACTGCCAACGTAATACGACTCCATATTTTCTGAAGGTGAGCGTTGCTGTCATGTTCAGGAAAATGCCTAGCTAACTCCCCTCTAAATGCGTACTTGGCGTCCTCATCTACCAATCGAACACAGATTCGTATCATTCCCTTTTCTTTCCTACGACTAGCAAGGCACAAAGATACACGGGCTTGTTCTAGAACCTTATAGGTGTCCACACAGGTAATCCAGAAAGAGTGTCAGTCGTCTGTTAACTCCCTCTATTGTTGGTTCATAACGAAATAGTGCTCAATGTCTCTTCACCATTGGCTTGATGTTGCCAGACACCATGTTAAACAACGTCATTCCTTGTGATTTAAGTTAGTGCTGATCAGAAACAAGTGAATGCCAGAATAAAATCGCAAGAGATAATCACCATTGAGGTTTTTTTGACATATCATTGCGTGGATATCCTCGATGTGCCTATCCGATTGGCTCAGCTTTCCTACATGAGCATTTAAATCGCCTGGTATTATGACTATAGCTGAACGTTTTGCTTTCTGTAGCAAAATTGACAGCTTCTCGTAGAATTCATCCTTTTCATCATGTTAACTGCAGTCGGTGGGTGTGTAGGCGGAGATTACGCATAGGCATAAGCTAATCTCACGATTCTTCCTAGCTCTTGCAGGTTCATTCAGTCGAACAGCACTAAGGCGGCTGTTGACTGGTATCAAGTCGAGAAGTGCACTTTCTGCTCGATAACTTAATACTATGCCTACGACAGCGAATCCACGAAAGCTAGTCACTGGGTCTCCGGATACATCTGCCAATTTTGACAATCAGTATACAAAATTGGGAGCAGAGTCTAAGATTTATAATTTGGCCATCAGACAGCAAGTCGGTAAGTCAAGAGTAATGTGGAGGTAACCTCCATATTACTGTTGTAATTAGTTAGTCGACGGGCAATAAATGTAAAGCTGCACTTTTATCCACGGAGCCTTGAATCGTTTCATTTTTCAGTTACTAGCCCGTCTAAAGCCCGGATAGAGAGGGAAGGTCGGGCATACGGCTATCAACCCTACCCCTTAAAACCAATCCAATCGCTAAAGAAACTTCAAAACACAAAGAAAAAATAAAAATTGAAAACAAACTTATTCATCGCTGGAATCGGAGGGACGAAATGACGCCGGTTGGTGAAAGCCTTCGGGAAGCCAATTGACCGATGTGTCTTCTCTCTTGATGTAGGCGAAAGTAAGAATGGGAACATGGAATGTCCGCACCATGTATGAACACCTAGCAAGGCTGCCCAGATTGCAAAAGAAATGAGAAGGTATAGCGTAGAAGTGATAGAAATCTGCGAAAGGAGATGGAATGGAAGTGGACTCTCCAAACTGTCAACTGGAGAATCAATAATCTACTCCGATATTGTCACCCAGACGACAACCACGAGCACATTGAGTTTTCGAGTGGCTATCGTGATGTCCCCAACAGCATCGA